TTATCTTTTATATAAAGTTAACATTTCTCAAAAAAGACTCACATGGATACGTGGGGTGTATATTGTTGTGCAGTCATGACGGATGGTTGGAGAGATACGATGAACAAAAGCATCATGAATTTGATTGTGAATTGTCCATTAAAGACAATGTCTTGAGGTCTATTGATGCTTTTGACAAATCCCATGATGCAAAATTCATTTTTAATTTGGATGATCAATACATAGAGGAGATAAGGGAGGATAATGTGGTTCAAGTTGTGATCGATATGTATTAAGCTAATATAGTGGCTGTAAGGTTATTGATGGATAAGAGGCTGCGTATTTTTTTGTTGGCTTGTGCAACACACTACATAGACATCATACTTGCGCCCATATAAGACCACCGGTAAACACTACTCAGACCATCTGATAAAATTAAAGTCCCCCCTAAGCAAATCGATAGTTAAAATTGGAAATAAATTCTGACAGCTGAGTAACAAAGCCTTCTTTATCAGCAAAAGACTGTGGTCCATATACATTCATCAGCCCCCAATGAAAACCAGGGGCCCCACAATCCCAACAACCAAACAATTTTCTTTTTTCACAGAGCAAAAAGGAAGCAAAATAGTAGGGTCCCACAGAATCCACAATCCCCCAGAAGCACCTACCGAATCTACACCTATAAAATCAACTGAACCATGGCCGCAAACTTCCCTGACACCAGCCAATTTGGGACTTAGAAGTTTGGTTTCCCGTAAAATAAGGATTGAGGGTTTAAACTTACATACCAAAAAATGGAAGTCTTTCTTACGTTTGAGGTCGCTCAAACCTCTTACATTCCATAATATAATAATGATTAGAAAGGATTAGAGGAGGAGGAACCTTGGCCGTCCCTGTACAAGCCAAAGAAGACTTCCTCTAACATCATTGCTTCATCCATGGCCTCATCCATCAGGTCATCCGAATCCAAAGAGCCCCCAACCTTGTAGAGGATCTCGTACCAACCCTCGATTTTCCTTTGGCTTGACTCTTGACCCCATCTTTGACAGGGGTCTTCCTAATATCACCTGAGAAACACCTCCTTTTCTTTCCTTTTCTGCTTACTTCTTCTCAATAATCTCTTGGAAGATCACTCCAATAGAGACATCAAAGTCCATGCCACTAGCAACCACCAAAGTGGCCACCCTGTGCTCTTCTTGATTCTCCAACTCTCCATCCCTAGAAACAATCCTATTCTCTACCCGGGCTCTTCCGTCCTCTAGGATTGTCAGAAACAAATTGGATCATCAGAGGCCTAACCTCCTGACGGATCATAGAAAGAGGGGGAGAGACTTCCAATTCAACAAGAACTAAGCCTTACTCCTTGACCTCCACCTCAGCAACCACACCATCTTCCCAAAACGCTTCCAGTGCAGGCGGTACAAATTCCCCTTCCTCAAGTTCAGGGTGCTCGATACCCTCCTCTATGACCACAATGGCTAAACGATCAACCACCAATGGGTCAAACGAGGGCCTTGGAGTGAAGCAGCTCTTCCTCGCGGCACGTCGATGCAGTAGGGGATACGTCTTACTCCAAGAATCGATCAACGGCTGGAACACAATGGTTGAGAACCACCTGTTATTAGTTATCACCAAGATTAAGGAGAGCCAAAAGAGACTCAAGAAGCATCCACCATTCACCGCTTCAAACCACCAACAGTAGGGGATGAAGAAGGCAGAGGCTTTTCCACTTCTGTATGCTCCAGCGTGAGCAACGAGGCACTCACCATGTCTACGTAAACTCTTGTTGACCTTGGACGAGATAACATACCATGCTCCATATGATCATAGAAAATAAAGCCCCTCTTTCTCTTTCAGTGTCTTTCTCTCTAGCACTAGGGGTGTCAATGGGCCTGAGACCCCGACCCTTGACCCGGGGGTTAGACTTGATCTAGTTTCGGGTATGGATCTAGATATTGGACCCAGTGGGTCGGGTTCGGGTGCAAATCTTGGACTCGAACACTATTCAAGTTCGGGTCTAGGTTTGGGTCAGGGTCTGGGTTTGGATCCCATATCATTTTTTCGTCTACATGGCATACATATAGGTTTATTACCTTCTTATCAAGTTAGGTACTCTCCCTCTTTAAACTACAGCCTTGGGATTGGGAAAGGGGCTGGGGTTGTGGTGGTAGCACCCCACACACTAGTCACCACGTTGTGGTTTTCATTCCCACCTCTAACACCACCCCACTGATATCTTCAAAAAGTTAGAAAAAAAGGATAGGGGCTCGTCTTCCCCACCGAATTACCCAAAAAACAATTTGCAGCCTTGGATGCTCCCACAAACGATTGGACACCTTATATGAAAGCATGCACAATGCTCCACATGATCATAGAAAATAAAGGATCATAAGTGTCACCATCATCTAATTAGTGGCTTCAGTTATCGAGAATGGGTGGGATCCAAAAATATTTGAAGTTGTAATTCCCCTCTCCTTTCAGCTGCCTTCTATTTATTAGTTGGATGCATAATCATGAGTACCTGTTTCTATGGTCATGGAAAAAATTGTTTTAAAACTTTTTAAATGACTTCCATTAAGAAAATTGATTTTTTGAATATCTTTTTAAAAACTCATAATTCTTAACAGATTTTTAAAAGTTATTTTTTATTTTTTAAATTTCGTTTTAAAGGGAGACTAGATGATTATGATCACAGTGCCATTCCCCTTGCAAGGGCTAATTAAGGTTTTTATATACTTACTAAAGGTATGGCCTTTAAAAAGCAGAATAGCAGATGAAAATTCATATAACGGACCCCAATTAATTAAAAAAAATATATAATAGTGATGATGATACACTTACAAAATACTCATATCATTTAAATTAAGGGTGTAGTTTTTATAAGGTTGAAACCTTTAACAATCCAATTAAGACGCACCTCCAAACTTTATCATAACATGTAATTTTGGTGTAAAAAAGTATTACGATTATCTCAAAATCTATTTTCACATCTAATTATAAAATTTTAAACCAAAAAAATGGTTAAAATCAAGTAGACCTATAAACATTTAAATTTTTTGAAAATGGACGGTCTAGATAATGTGTTGTAAGATGCACTATATTTGGGATTCAAAATATGTTTTTTTATATTCATGCATCTCAATGTCGAGACGATCAGTTGGAGGGTTTTTCAATAGTAAAACAACCTTATTCGATAGATTTTTGAGCTGCATATGTAATTCTACATTTTAAGGTTTCAACCTCGTATAAACTTTTTCCTTTAACAAAAACTAAGGACAAATTTGTCATTTGTCTCTTATAACTTCTTCAGAGCAGCACCCTTTTGCGCTCCATTCTAGGTGTTCTTCACAAAATAGAAGGGACACCGTTTTTCTGAATTCTCAGAGCTATTGTTTTACCCTTAGAACCTCAAAAACCAGAACCAGGAATAGGGAGTTCTTTTAATTCAACCTTTCTTTAAAGCTCACACTACACATGGACTGGAAACCATGTAATTGATGTTTGGTTTCGAAGCCATGGGAATATATTACTTAGAAATCATTGCCATTTATTTGTTTTGTTCTTACTATCGAAACAAGTTGGAAATTGTCAAGAAACATGCAGGGTACTAAATCTTTACTTTTTGTTCTTTAGTTATTTCTATCTCTCCCTCCTTTTTTTTATATATACTTGTTGTTGTCTCTTTGGGATTAATTTTTCTTGTTCTAATTGATCACGGAATTTGGTTGTGTTCTGAGTCAAATAGATCTTTAATTTCTATTGAAGTATTTCCCACACTAATTTGTAATTTGTAGAAGGGTCTCAAAATTTGAATGGGGATTTTTTTTTAACATAGTTGAGGATGGTTATTTTCTAGTATTGAATTTACTTTTGGAATTTATTCTATGCTTACTTATGATTTTTTCAGTATTATTAGACATAGCTTCGGTGTCAACTAACTTTTTGAGGAGGAAATTTCCAAACCAAAATCAGTTGGGGGTCAAGTGCTTAGGTAGTTGACACTATTGCAGAAAATATTATTTGCATTTTTATTGTTTTCAGTGTCAAATTCTCAAGTAATGATAATTTAATTTAATGCCTTTTTTTTTTTGGAGGATCAAGTTCTATATTGTAAATAATTTAAAGTTTTATAATGTAAATAATTAAATGTAAAATGAGTGACAATCTAAGGGATGCTGACCAACAAGAAATTGGGTCACTTGTGCAAGCTTTATGTTTATTTCCATCTCGTATTTCACAATTATTAGATTTTCACAAGTGGGATGTCTACAAACAAGAAATTGGGTGACTTGATTTAGGAGAGCTTGAGAGTGTAATATTTTTTCTTGATATATTTAGTAGGTTCTAACAATTGCTTGATCACAATTATTAGATTTTTCACAAGTGGGATGTCTACCAACAGGAAATTGGGTGACTTGATTTAGGATAGCTTGAGACTGTAATCTTTTTTCTTTATATATTTAGTAGGTTCTAAAAATTGCTTGATCATATTTATATGGTATTAGTAGCTTTATTCTAGGAATAAAGTCAATATTAAACTTTTTCTTTTGTCTTAGTTATTTATTTTTCTAATAATTCCTTGATGAACATGTTTTCCTTCTTTCACAGTATTTATCTGATTTTTACAAATTCTAAAACTTAGAAAAGCTTGTGTTTACACCATGCCTCTATCTGACACGAGACCTTGCTTGTAACACTACTCTGTTTATCTGCGTTGCTAGTTCAATTTTTTCAACTACGATATTTGTGTTATACCTTTCTGGACTCCAGACGAATGGGTTTTATCTTATTACTCTTGTGAATATGGATGATGGTTGTTTTAATGGCTCTTGATTGCCCACTAAGAAATCTTTTCCGTGATTAAAAATGATAAATATCTATTCCTTCACGTAAAGATGAATATTAATTCCTATGGTATCACACCTTGCATTCTTATGAGTATCAATATGGAATGTTTCTGTCTTTGGTATGTGGTGATACATGTACATGGTAATTGCTTATTGTTTCTATACCTTAAACAGGCAGCTTCCTATCTTCAAATCAAATTATAAGAGACATGCTTTCATGGTTGAAGGCCCAAGCTTAGGGCTCTCTTTGTTTCTCAGGTGATGAACCCTCCCTTTCTTTTGTTCTTATCAGAGCTCTTTCCACAACGGATTTAGGTTATCTCGAGGTTTTTGCTGGTAAAGGAAACCTGTATTGGGATAATCAGAGTTTCAAGCCATTCTAGGGTTTTGACTGGTAAGGGTGCCTGGTTTTGAAGGATTCACAAGAATGGATTTGTTGCAAAGCTATAAAGATGACACTTATGATTCGAGTCCGTCACAAAGTAACGTAGATGATTCCCCCCGTTCTTCTCCTAATTCATCTCCATTAAGGATTTCCCTACCTTCAAAGAGCTCTGCTCCTAAAGTTGATGAAACCATGCTATCCCTAAATTTAGTGGACACAGGCAGGCCATTGGCCAAACCTATTGATCCAGTTCAACATGTGGTGGCCTTTAACCCTACTTATGATCAGTTATGGGCTCCAATCTATGGCCCTGCTCACCCCTTTACTAAAGATGGTTTAGCCCAAGGAATGAGAAATCATAAGCTTGGTTTTGTCGAAAATGCAGCAATTGAACCCTTTCTATTTGATGAACAATACAATACTTTCCATAAATATGGCTATGCAGCTGATCCTTCAGGCTATTCTGGGAGTAACTATGTTGGAGACATTGAAGCCTTGCAGCAAAATGATGGAGCTTCAGTTTATAACATACCCCAACATGAGCAAAAGAAGCGCAAACTCGAGAAAAAGGCATTGCAAAAAGAGGAAGAGCCTGAGAATGAGGAACGCAAGCCTGAAATGGAGAACCCAGCTTCTCAAGAATGGCTTCTGAAGAATAGGAAGAGCCCATGGTCTGGAAAGAAGGACGGGGTCCAAAGTGAACTAACAGAGGAACAAAAGAAATATGCGGAAGAGCATGCTAATAAAAAGGGCGAGAAGGAGAAGGGGGAGAAGGTTGAATTCATGGATAAAACTACATTTCATGGAAAAGAGGAGAGAGATTATCAGGGGAGGTCTTGGATTGCCCCCCCAAAAGACGCAAAGGCAACAAACGATCACTGTTATATACCCAAAAAGCATTATCACACATGGAGTGGGCACACGAAGGGTGTATCAGCTATTCGGTTCTTTCCGAAATATGGTCATCTTCTTCTTTCAGCAAGCATGGATACAAAGATTAAGATTTGGGATGTTTTTAATTCGCGCAAGTGTATGCGGACATACATGGGGCACTCTAAAGCAGTTCGAGATATCACATTTTCGAATGATGGGTCAAAATTTTTGAGCACTGGGTATGATAAGAAGATCAAGTATTGGGATACAGAGACTGGTAGTGTTATATCCACTTTTTCGACTGGTAAAATCGCATATGTGATCAAGCTTAACCCTGATGAAGACAAACAAAATATCCTTCTTGCTGGAATGAGTGACAAGAAGATAGTGCAATGGGATATGAGAAGTGGAGAGATCACCCAAGAATATGATCAGCATCTTGGGGCTGTGAATACGATAACATTTGTGGACAATAATCGCCGGTTTGTGACCTCTAGTGATGATAAGAGTCTTCGGGTTTGGGAGTTTGGGATCCCTGTGGTGATTAAATACATAAGTGAGCCTCACATGCATTCGATGCCTTCAATTTCACTACACCCCAATTCAAATTGGTTAGCTGCTCAAAGCTTGGACAATCAGATCTTGATATATAGCACAAGAGAGAGGTTTCAGTTGAATAAGAAGAAGAGATTTGCTGGTCATATTGTGGCAGGTTATGCTTGCCAAGTGAACTTCTCTCCTGATGGGCGATTTGTTATGTCAGGAGATGGAGAGGGTCGGTGTTGGTTTTGGGATTGGAAAAGTTGCAAGGTTTTTAGGACGCTGAAATGCCATGAGGGTGTTTGTATTGGGTGCGAATGGCACCCATTGGAGCAGAGTAAGGTCGCTACTTGTGGATGGGATGGAATGATCAAGTATTGGTATGTTTTCTTTCTTAATTTCTCATGCTTTCTTGATTATGTTGTGACTTTAGCATATATCTTGTTGCATTAATTAAGTTTCTTTTAGACAGGGCTAGTTTTCCCCTTTTAATTGTTCTAGTGGTTCAACGGATATAAACCAATGATATTCTGTCCTTGCATTTGTGCAATGGGTCAATTTTCCATTGAATTTGTCAAGCGCTCTACCAATTGGTTGTCACATTTTGAACAGTTGATGCCTTTGTTATTCACCATGAGTTGCTTACTTTCTATTTCTTTATGGCTTTTGGAAATATATGTGGTAACTTTTGAACTGCTGTTATTTATGGAATTCATCCTCTTAGTTGTACTAATGGATATAATAATCATGTCTAATTAAATGACTGTGTTTTTAGCGTATATTGCTTAAACTTGTGTGTTACACTTTTAGATTAGTGCAGCAGCAGGCGCATTCCCATTAATTCAGTAGTCAGCATGATAAATGAACTTTTGAGTGTAGATAGCCTCCTATTGATTTTTATTTATTTATTTTTTATTTTTTGTGGTTTTGGACTTTTCTGTTTCACACCTTTCTCAAATGACATCCATAGAGCTGTTTTCTGTTGCTTACTGCAGTTCACTGTGGCCCTTGCAGGGATTAGTTGATGATTGGATCTGAACTTGTAGTAACACCAAGGCCCCATGCCTGTGCCCATCATGTATTTTCAGACCTTCCATGATCTCATCTGGAGAAATGTAGGACATATTGTGGCTGCAGCAAAGAATTACAACACAAGTATGCCAGTTATTGAATGTTAATGCTATATGTTCCCCACTGGTTTTATAATACTATATGGGTTCCACTGGCTTAATAAGTTTTGTTTCTCATGGCCTTATGACAATCTGAGATGTACTTCAGTCACTAGCTGAAAGCGATTTGACTTGGTTGTTTCTTATAAACATGCCATTCTGTGGAATTTTTAGATGGCCTAGATAATTTGTAGTATAAGACATTAAGACGAGAAGGTTGCATCACAATGACTTCTTTGTGGTGTTTTTTAACCTAGTCTCATCCTTGTCCAAGCATTTTGTTGGTTAAGCCATGGCGGGCTAAAAGTTATTTAATCTTCATCCATGACATTTGTTATTTTGTTTTGTGAAAATGGTCAAATATGTTGAATTTGTATTCTTTTGTGAGACAATCATTTTGGAGTACGTGACATTAATTACCCTTGAGGTAAGAATAATCTATTTTTGATGCTCAACTTTCATGAACTTTCTCTTTTGATTAAATTTTTAAGCGGTCATTTAGTCTCTCTATGCAATGTCCCTTGGTGAATATGTTTACATAAGATAGAAGAAACAGAAAGAAGGACAAGTCTGGTATCAAATGTTGGTGAGACTCATGCAAAACTATATCTTCAAAACTCACGCCAACTTGTCTTGCCTTTCGTAGTCTAGTGTTACCTTGGCTGCCATGACTTTGCACATATTGTGTGTGCAACGTAAAATGAAGAAACTTATTCACTTTCTTCTGTGATGGATTTTTTTATTCTTAGTGGTTATAAAGTTAAGCCCATCACCCTGACTCTAGGGCGCCTTGACACTGTGAAGTCCCTGATCCCTTTGCTAGTCAACAATCCCATTTTCCCCACTGCCAACAACTCAGCCCTGCTCCAACGACTTTAGTGTGTCCCATCTCTCGACATCCTTTGGGGTTCCCCGAACCATCTGTATCCTTCACCTAACAACAAGTCTTTAAAGCTCCCCATCTCACCATAAAGTCCGTGCATCAAAAAAGCCTAATGCATACTGCTACAAGTCATCCCTTTGTCTGCAAGCATCACTGATCCCTCCCCCAAGCCCTCTGCACAGGTAACTATGAACAGTGTTTCAAAAAGCACTAGGCGGCACCTAGGCGGTGGGGTGGGGGGGGGGGGGGGTCCAGGCCGCCCAGCGCCTAGAACCTGGGCAGCCCAGTAAAAAATATATTTGTTTTGGGGTTTTCTCTTTCTAAAATAGCCTCTGATGGGTTTTAGGTTTCAAATGAACCTAAAACCCACAAATTTTCCCTTCATTATTAAATAAATGACCCAAAACCTAGGCGAGGGCCCAAGGATATCCGCCTAATTTGACTGCCTAGGCTTGAGTGAAGCGCCCAGGCCTTCTGGACCGCCTCGATGGCCACCCAGGCGCTGGGCGGTCCGCTTTTTAAAACAATGACAATGAAAGATTGGTGCTCTGGATGCAGAACCCCGTTCTTCAGAGGGTTACTCATCTCCAGTTGTGGTCTGCTATTGCATGGCCAACCCTAGTCCATCCATAAATCTAAAGGTAACATAGATCAGATATTGTGTGTTATGGGCTTCTTCTATGAAGCAGGATGGGTGGTAGAGGAGTGAGAGAGCTCAAAAGCCTCTCCAGTTCTATTAACTATGGTATATATAGGGAACGCTCTTTACTTTCTCTTCTCCTATCCATGTTCATTGTGCCTTGTGGGAGCAGTATGCATGCAGATGTTTCCAGATATGTCTCCGTTCCTGTACCTAATCTAATGTAGATACTTATTAAGGAATGTTTGGGTTCAAGGCCAACCTCAGAAGTTTTCTCACAAGTTCTCCCCCTGGATACTGGCCATTTTGGAATTGGGTTCCCCTGACCTGAACTTAGTTCTACATGTCTTGAGAAGACCGGGTCAGTGGAAAGTGCCTCAGAGGGGCCTTCCAGTGGGATTTGATTCTTATGGTACCCTATTTGTTTCTCCAAATGTTTGGCCCAGGTGGGCTAGTCTTCTGTCTCTGATATTCTTTTTGGAGGTACATATGGGTTTGGCTGGAGGTTTATAGCTGTTTGTGGTTCTAACAGACCTAACATGATAGAAGCTCTATGATCAGATTTAGATGGGATAGCTTCTAGCTCCTTTTGAAGAGAAGGGGGCTTGGAGATGTGACTCACTGGATGTTCTAGAAAAATACGAGCAATAGTTATCATGGTCAGCTGGTCAGCATTCTCAAAATCTGTTTTAGGAATCATAAGGTTGATCTTCCTCTCAATGGTGCTTCTCTATCGTGGTCTAACCATGAGTCCCCCACCTTAACAAAATTAGACCACTTCCTTGTGTTTCCTGATTGGGTAGAGAAGTTCCCAGGAGTGCACTCTCGAGCCCTACCTAAGCCTGTTTCTGATGTACACCGTAATTCTGGAGACTGTTGCAATTTAGAGTGGGCAAATGCCATTTAGATTTGCGATATTGTGGCTCGAAGATCATGATCTTCACAAATTGATCTTTTCAATGGTTGGTTGACTTTCATCATAGAAGCGTGGGCAGTCTCTAGTCTTTGCAGAAAGTTACAATTACTTGAGTAATCTCTCAAAACCAGAGCAGACAGCAGTTTGGAGACTTCAGTTCCCTCCTCTACAAGATCAGCAAGCTCAATCTTATCGAGGAGTCAATAGTCCATAGTTTGCAAGAGAGAACCGGGGAAGCCGAAGCCAAGGTCGACCTCAAACAAGAGGAGATTTTTGGTGCCAAAGGTCCAGCACTAAGTGGCTCAGGGAAGGCGACCAGACATAACCGTTTCCATAGGATGGGATATTGTAGGAGAAGAGCCAAAATGTTAGTGCATGTTACCAATGGTCATAGCCTCTATGAGCACTCCACTGAAGTTAACTCAGATATTACAAGTTACGTCCAAAGATTGTTTTCCAAACGGTCTAATGTGGGGGCTATGAACATGAATCTTGCTTTCAAGACTATCCTCAATGAGATGGCACCTGGTTAGAGGCTTAGAGCAGCCATTCTAATAGGAAATTGGAAAGGCTGTATCTGATCTAGGACAAGGTAAGGTGCCTGGCCTGATGGGTTCCCACGTCCCAATAGCTTTATTCGACCAATTTGGGATACGTTAGCTCCTTTTGTAATGGCCATGCTCTTAGAATTCTATAACAGGGTGTATTCACGAGGGCATGAACTCTACTTTCCTCGTCCTAGTTCCAAAAGTTTGAAGGGTCTGAGGAACTTATGGACTTTGGGCCACTATGTGTTCTGGATAGCTCCTACAAGATATTTTCTAAAGCACCAACAGTCTTTGGCATGTGTAGGTTATGTTGTCTCCCTGATGCAGGGAGCGTTCATCAAAGATAGTCAAATACTGGATGCCATCTTGATGCCGTATGAGGCTATGCACACTCGCCATCTATCCAAATACCTGAGCCTTGTCTTTAACTTTGATTAGGAGAAGTCCTACACCATACTGATTGGGTATCTTAGATCAGGTGCTTGGGCTTATGGGATTTGGAAGCTGGTTTGGATTTGAGGGTGTGTCTACTCCCCCAACTTCTTGGTGCTCAGCAACAGCTGTTCACATGGGCAGTCCTGTTGTCAATAGGGCCCCTTACTTTTGGCAGTTCTTGAAGAGATGTTCCGCTACTCCACCTCCAACCTTCACAATCTAAACTTCTTCAATGTCTTTTCTTCATCCATTAAGGGTCTGATCATCAGCCATTTACCATTTACCCTGCTGATGATACATTGGTGGCAACCTTTGGCTCTTACTAATATGCTTCAAAATTGTGATTGGGCTCACGATTAATCTAGCAAAGACAAAGACGATGTACGTTTGCATGAACCTTAATGATGAACAGGTGTTGGCCAGTCTCCTTGGCTGTGGGATTTAGGCCCTGCCAAGTAAGTGCCTTGACCTCCTCTTGAGCCATGGAAAACTTAGAAAGGCACAAGTGGATGGAGTGATTGAAAAATTCTAGAGAAGGCCCAACTGCATGGAAAGATGGATATTTCACTTGGGAGGAGCATAACAGTTATCAGAGCTACCCTGTCCAATACCCTGATATTTTACTTCTCTTTTCATGATGACCATCTTGGTTCTGGAGAGGCTTGAGCTCGTGGTGAGGGACTTCCTATGGTCGGGCTCCAGAGGGAATCATAACTTCCACAGGATGAGTTGGGATATGTGAATCAGAGAGAGTGGATCAGGCACTCGCAGGCTCAAGGAGTGCAATTCTGCCCCACGTGGCTACTCAACCTAAAATGGCCACCTTTTGAAGCAAGTTGTTTAAGCAAAATATGGCCTAGATGAAAGTGGTGACTCTCTAGGAGTCATGTAGTTCTCACGCGTCGGGGGCATGGAAGAGCATTATCTCTGTGCACAGTGACTTCATTAGGCATATCTGCTCCATAGCAAAAACAGGGACAGAATTTGACTGTGGAAAGACCTTTGTCTGGGGGATTGTACCCTTGATTATTTCCCAGCCTTTTTGCCTTAGCTGTTGAACAGAATGATCTGATTTCACAATCACTTGATGACCTTGGCGGACAATTGAGTTTAGGAGAAATTCTTAGGGATCGGGAGGTCCCTGATTTGGTGGTGGCTCTTTCGGATATCCTAAGAAAACAGTTCAGTCCTCAGGTGGGTTTCTATAAGCTAAGATGAACCTCAACCTCGTCATATACTTTCTCTGTCTCGTTGAGTGATTCAGTATCCACATCTTCTGGAAGCAGGCCTCTCTTTGCTAGTAAGGCTTGGCCTATCCCAGTCTCCGCAAAGGTTCAATGCTTCAATTGGCTGGTTATCTCTGAGAAAGCACTCACCATTGACCAACTACATTGCCTTACCCAATTGAAGTTTGATCTGCAAAGAGGCAGGGGAATCAATAGACCACCTGGGCGTTCTTTGTTCAGTGGCAGTACAAGAGCGAGCTTTCATTCTTAGTGTATTTCAGTGGGAATTGGTTTGACCTTAAGATGCCAAGGCAGCTGCTCTCAACTTGCTTTCAACCCCCATTCCCAGCAGCGGTGATTGATATTCCTTTGGAGGGCGACTTTGATGACTACTATTTGGTATGTGTGGAATGAACGAAACTCTAGGATGTTTTACTTTAAAGCAAAGGGGTAGCTGCATTGAAGGGTTACGCTGCTTCAACCTTTCTTGGGGCCCTACTTTGATCGTGGAAGGGGACTCGAAGAATGTCATAGCCTTGGATTCTTGGACCTCCTTGTGTCCTTGGCGAGATTACATTTTTGAGGAGATCTTTCATCTCACTAGAGAACTACAAGTAGTTTGGTGACACTTGGATAGAAGGAAACGACACTGCAGATGCCCTAGCCAATGAGGGTGCTTGTGTACAGCACCCCCAAGGGTCTCTTGCGTACCTTTTCTAGCACTACAGATCTGCGTTTTGGTTCACCGATCTGATCGTCTATTTTTCAGATGTATAGCATTTTTTGGACACCCTAAGGGGCTTTTGTTGTACCGTTCCCCATTAGGAGATGCACATCTTCTTGTATACCCTTTACTCAATACAACAATTAACTTTCTCAAAAAAAAAGAGAAAGATTCGAGCCATGGTGGTTTTTCAGGCTTGCAATCATTGCGATTTTGTGGGATGGTTCTTCCTGAATTTCATTCTAAATTGGGATCCATTCAGAGCGCTAGGCCGACAAGTGTTTCTGAGTCAAATCTAGCTCTAGGTCGATAAGTTTTTCCATGTCAAATCTATGTCAGCTCCTACTCCCAGGGTCATCAAACTAATTTTCGATGGTTGCGCTCTAGGCAACCTGGGCTTGTGAGGTGTGGGTGGTATCTTTAGAAATGGTTTGGGGTCTGTTGCTCTCATTTTATGGGTTCATCGGAGTCCTGGATTCCACCAACGCAGAGGCTACAACCCGTTTTGAAGGCCTGAAAGCTGGGGCCTCTCACCTGGTGGGAGGCGACTTGAACAAATGTCATTCCCGGGGTTTCTTGCTGGGCCAACTTCCCCTGCTATCTGTAATAGCTCTTCGAACAAATTTTGGAGTGCGTAACATATACAAATTTGTCGCATACTTGGGGTGGAGCGAAGTCAGCTGCGGATGTTTGGCAGAGGAAGGTGCCAGCACTGACAGTTCTGTAATTAATAGGCCCTCGACCTGGCCATTGTATCTTTCTTTCTTTTCTACTTTATTGTTGGTTTCTGTTTTTGCCAGTTTGAGATTGTAATTTTGTAAACGTTCTATTCTATTAATACTGAAGTCTATTTGTTCACAAAGATAAAAAGGTTCTGAAATTAACCTGGCTGGTAGTCTCTTCTTTTTCACCTTTTGGGTATTCCAAGAACTTGGGTGCAAATTTAAAAGGACCAGTTCTGGTTTGTTATATAAAACTAGTTATTAGTTTGGTAGAAAGGACATTTACACGGAATATATCTGTGTTAGCTCTTCCAAGGGTGGGGCGCCTGAAAACTGCCTTGGGTCCTGGACATCTTGTGTTTAGTGCGTCACTCAAACCCTAAGTAGAACCAACCCAGCCGAATGTTTAGTAATTGGCTTTGATTCTTGATGAATCGTTGTCTTGCCCAAGTCAAGTTGCAACTGACTCTCCATGCACCCAGATTGAGCCAAAAGTTCACCTGAATAAATTATTACCTATAATGCCCATTTGATCTTTTCATAGCAAAGAGGATGAGGAAGAGCAGTAAGCAGAACGGTTCAGAGGAGATGAGGGCTCTGGAGATCTCTAGCGTCAAGTAGAGGATAAATCCACGGTTGCCGAAACAAGATTATGATGGAGGAGGCAGGCACGCGGGGAGTTCTTGAGAGAGAGAGAGAGAGAGAGAGGAAAGCCTACATGAGAAGAACTTGAAGGTAATTGACTAGATGGGACTGTGTCAAGAATGAAGACGTTCATTCCTTCAAATTTGTTGGAATCCCGCAGCCTTTTGTGTTCTCTCGATCGGTCTGTTTATGTGTTGGCCAAATAAGTGAAACGTTTGCTTTGCCTCCTAAGGAAGCTATACACTTTTTGACTAACTAGCAAGTAATTCATTATCTGTGTTGAATAATAATTGATCTCCATTCCCTTCATTCGCTGTGGCATAGCAGCACTTTGGCTTTGCATCCTTTCTCTTCATGCTTTCAAGTCTACATGGCATGACTTTTTGGACTGGGACCTTCCCTCATATTTTAACTTCCATATTGAACCTCGGATCCATTTTAGCCAGGTAGGTGACCAAGAAATCCACAGTTCATGCTGTGGTTGCCCTTCTCCATGTGCTCTGGTTTCGCTTCTTGTGACCTGAACCATTGCATTAATGAGGCACCAATCTCCATTAAGGATCTGCTTGCCTCTTACATGGGCATCTTGGAAGATCAACCCACAACTTGCCTAAAACATTTGATTGCAACTTGCAAGGATTGAGGTCAAAAAAATTTTGGGCACTGGACACTAGGTTGTCTGGCGCGATGTCCTTAAGGTCCACAGAACCCTCAAACCTTGGGGATCAAAGTAATGAAGGTAATAGTTATCTATCCATCCAATTGGATCTTGGTGAAACTAGTGAGGCATGTCTATATAAATTTCCCTGAACAAATTCCCAGTAGTCCTGAAAAAGAACATAGTAATGATGGAGAAACCATCAAGTTCCTGTCTCTTGAAGTGCAAAAACTACTTTGCGACGTCTTCTCTGAAGTCCTCTCAAGACCTGCTGCCGCCTTGTACAGAAAGTTCTTTGAAAAACTGTGGCCTTCCACTCAATCCTTGAATCACATGTTTTGGACATGTATGATGCAAATATTATTGCTGCTCACTGAATGTTTTATTGTGTGGAAGAAGCTATATTCTCGTCTACATCCAAGGTTTGAATTCCTTGTTAGAAAAAAAGGCTCCTTGTTTGAAAAAAAAAAAAGGCCATTATTCTTGTTCCTTCCTTGAGCTATTGGATTATAGGGTTAGTAAACTTAAGCCAAAATATTATATGCTCCTTTGGGAGCAAGTTGTGCATTCACTCCCTTGGGAGTAGTTACACCCTCTCTTAAGAGTATTTAGCACCCCAGATTTTGGGATCTAACCTCCTCAACCTACTGACCAATTATTTTGGATGGTCAAAGTTAAGTGTTTAAAAACTCAAAAATCCAAATTGTTTTTCTGTGAATGCTCATTTGGTAATATCTTATTGTCTTGCGATGTCATAGTTATCCATTGTCAATTTGGAAGTCTTTCCTTTCTCTAGCTGTTAAAGTAACACTCTCTTCCCGGTTAACCATGAAGGAAACAACGGCCTCAAAGATTTTCTTATTTTTCTTCGATTGATGATTGTTGTCCCAATTAAAACTGCCTTTTTCCCTGATAAAACTTTGCTGGATTTTTAAAATCTTTGTGTGATGGTTCCGTAACATGTTCTTGAAATTGAAAGGTATGGTCCATTGGGGTCAGCACTATCCAATGAAATGGTGAATGGTCATGGGGACTGTGGCCACTCATGAGATTAGAATACAGCCCCAGCTGTGGGTTCTACTCCTCCATCCACATCCATTGTGTCATTGGATGATGACGACCAGTGGACTATGGTTTTCTGTTGTTACTAGATTGTTAGTATACATTTTTATGACTAAAGCTCTTAGCTATTGATGACGCCTAATATTCACGCACCATCAAATCACCTTATCTAGAAAATGATTTTCCATCCCAAATGATGCCATCTGAGATTGTAATGTTTCCTAGCTGCATCTTCTCCTGCCTTACAATGATCTCAAAACTGAATAACCACCATTTGCAATTTCTATTCTTGAGACAAGCATGCTGCTGATGTTTTTTATCAAAATCTTTCTTGTTCTTTGACCATGCCTCTCTCCCCTAATATTTCAAATGCTTTTTCCCTTCACAAAATGCAATGATTCATTGTGTAGCATTTCTTCTTAATTCGTGTGCTATAAGGATGGTTGAGTTACTGTCTTTGTGGTATTGATTCCTTTGGTTTGCATTTGTGCCAATCACAACGGATTTGTTAGCTTTCAAATCCTATTGTTCCTCCTAGGATAAATATATACAGTTTTTGAGTCGTCTGCAGCCAGTATTTAATCTAAAGCCTGTGATTCTTAAGATTTTTCTCTCTTTCCATTTCTTTTAGCCGAGTATGCAGAAATCCACATGGGATGATCCGCAAGTACGGGCTTATGTGTTGCAGGCAATGCTTTTGTAGCAATGCTAAGGAAATTGGCTTCGTCAAGGTATATTACTTAATGTATTTATTCTAGCTTACACCTCATTTTGTTCTTGTACTTTGCATCTTTCTGTGTGTGTTGTTTGTTTTGTGTGTGTGCATGTTGCTTACACCTTTGTCCTAGTGTTATTTCAGCGGTGTGTGTGAATGCAATTCATCTTCCTTTTTTTATTGTTTAAACTGGCTCATGAAGCTTCGGTTTTTCTTGTTCTTTCTTCCTTTTTTTTGGCAGTATCGCTGAGAAAATAAGGCTTGGTGTAAACCATTGCATGACTGAAGAAGATGAAAGCACGACTCTTTGGATTTGAGTAGACTATTTTCATAAGAACGTTATGTATTAACATTAATGACGATACAGTAAACCTTGATGGGTTGTTTATGTAAGAATTGTTAGGTTGAGTGGCTGGAGACCAGTTTGGAAGGCGAGACTTCTTTGATCCTTGCTGATTACCACTCTCTCTCTCTCTCTCTCTCTCTCTCTCTCTCTCTCGTCTCGTCGTCGTCGTCGTCGTCGTCGTCGTCGTCGTACGTCGTCGTCGTCGTTCGTTCGTTCGTTCGTTACGTTACGTTCGTTACGTTACGTTACGTTACGTTACGTTAGTTACGTTACGTTAC